TTCCTTAATAGTTCGGTGGGCACGCTCAATAACACCGTTCTGGTGATGCACATCCGGTTCTGATTCCTCCATGGTTAGACCTTCTTCATTACAAACTTTTTCAAATTTGTGTCCAAGAAATTCACCACCATTGTCTGAGCGGAAGGTTGTGATGTTTCTTTTGTTCTTAAGTCGTCGGTTGACCACATTCAAATACGTCCGAAAGCACTCTGCCGCGTCGCTTTTGTGCTTCACAAAGTACACGGATATATGTCCCATCCACTTCAGTGCCAGATAATAACGATTTCCGTTGTAGCTTCGCTTGAATGGACCGGCGAGGTCACCATGGCAGATTTCGTCCTGAGCTTCTTTTGGTCAAGATGCTGCTTTTGGTGCCACAGCGCGGTGGATCTTGCTGAGTACGCATATCTCACAGGGTCTGCTTGGCGACATCGGACCAACAATTTTTAGGCCTTTAACAGCGTTTGAGTTTGCTAACTGCGCGATAGAGCGATAATTTAAATGGTTCAAGCGTTGGTGCCAGTTGTCAATGGAGTTTGGACGTAGCGCAACAGCAGCCATACGGGGTGGAAGTTTTAATGTGTAAACTCCGCGCGTTGCCACCCCTTGCATAAGTGGATGACCATACACATTACACCCTTTTTCCGTGAGCTCGACCTTCATCCCATCGTCGATCAATCGCTTGACCGATATCAAAGTCTGGCTAAAACCTGGCGCGTACACAACGTCATCCAGTACTATAGTTTTAAGTTCATCGATCATCATTTTGCCCATGCGGTTTCCTGTAATCAATCGACCATCAGCAATTTCCACAGCATGCGTTTCACAGTCACGCATATCAAACAGTATGTTTGACTCCCCAGTGATGTGATAAGTTGAAGCAGAGTCAATGAGCGGGGCACCACGCAGAATACCAGGATCAATGGTGTGAAATTGAGATTTTCGGCGTGGTTCCCGTGTATTTCAGTCAGAACCTTTGCGAGCTTCCTGTTTATAGAACTCAGGGTCATCATTATCTGAGTTATTCCCTTCGGTGACGGTTGCGGCATGGGCCATTCCTTCTTGACGAGCGACAAATCTATTATGATAGCCAGTCGTGTGACCAAGTTCACCGCATTCTCCACATCGAGCCTTTGAATAATCTCAGGGTTCTCGACGAACTCGTTTGACATCTCTCTGTTGACTTTCTTTCTTCACGTTTGCTGATTTTCGCTTCCCAGCGAACAAGTGTGTAGTGCTTGCTGTTGGCAAACGCGTTGGCGAACGCGTTGGCGCAATTCCTTGGCTTTTGGCTAGTGTGCAGAGTCGAGAAACAGCTTGCTCAATCTCGTTCCAAGGATATTGGCTATCATCCTTGATAACCAGTCGTAAAGAATCTGCATGTCTCGGCCAAGCATTGGAAATAAGCGCGCTTAGAGCAACATTATTGGACTCCACCGTTTCCAGTCCACCCGCCGTAGCTGCTGCAGCCATTGACCTTAGTCGGAGTGAAAATTGGCGATATGTTTCGGATCCTCTCTTGCGCTCATTCGCTACCAAGATCAAAATATCTTGTTTCGAAAGTTTAGAACCAAATTCACGCATAAGTCGGCGCCCAAGTTCATTGAATGAACATCTGCGTAGCTCCACTATGTTCGTGATATACCACTGGCTTGCTGTTCTTTGAAATTGCTGGAAGAGTAACGCGTTTTTCACATTGTCTGATAGATGCACTCCATTTAGATCTTCATGTGTCTCGAGTATAGTTTCGAAGCATCGAAGCCATAGAGCAGCACCAGCGTCCACAGATTCAGGAGTGGATGATCCGTCGAAGGGTTCGATCGTGAATGCTTTAATAACTCGGTCATAGCGTTTTCGTAGTTCGTTGTCGGTGCGGTCACGTTGGTCCGTTCCCGGAATTGGCATCGGGGCGCTTGTCGGCGCGGTTACGTTGGTCCGTTCCCGGAATTGGCGTCGGGGTGCTGGGAGTGCTGGGCGGGGTGTACCATCATTTTCGCCCCCATAAGCGTATGGATCGGGTGTGAAACTGCGAAACAGTCCATGAGCCGACCCAGTGTTGCTGGAATTAGGGTTTGGCGTGGGTTCGGAGCTGGAGGCTTGCATAGTTGTTGTTTTTACTCAGTGTTAAACCTGCGGCTGTTAACCTGTAGGGGAATTGAAAAGTGCTTCATTTCCAATACGGTTAGAGTGGACTTATCGTAGTCTGTTCCATCCATCTCTATCCATTCTACTCTTCTTTACTCGATGGAGAATCTCAATCACTTCAATCAGGACGGGTTCAAGCTGGATGTTCCAACAGTGTGTTGGCACCGCGGCACTTGGAAATTTCCTACTGAGACCCCTGGCTGCTGCTGCCGTACCGGATTGGTCACGGTACCAAGTCCGCAACGCCGCCTGAATAGTTTCTTCAACTCTTCGACAACCCCAGTTTTATGAACTCGATCAGAGTTTACAACAATGTGTTCGCGTTTACATCAATTGGTGCCTCCGAAACTACATCCCTTAACGTCGACGACAGTGTCACAAGAGATGGCCTCTACAACTTCCGCGTCCAGGGGACAGTGTGTCACCGCATGAGTTCACTGTTGACCTCTCCCAATAGCCGAAACATGTTTGCCCAGGTGTATATTAACGACCCAGACACGGCCGCCCGAGTGGAAAGTCGAATGGGAATGACGGATGGGCTCGACCTGAGGATTCTGGAAACGATCAGCCATGTTATGGTAACCCACAACGAGTAGCGCCCACGAGCGGAAGCAATTCGCTCGCGATAAACTGTCGAGTCTTTGTTGAAGTTCTCAACAAATTGATTCCAGCTTTGGCAGAGTGCCTGCCACTCGGGCACTCTGCTTCACCCCAAAGTCTTCTTCGAGCTCCAGTACCGGAGCTCGTGAAAAAGCGAGAATAGTAATCTCGTCTTGGATTCGTCGTCGGCTTGAAGTGCTTTGAGGCAGCTTTAGCGTCGTCTACAATTGGATTGTCGACATATAACGGGATCGCATTCGGAGAAAACATGCGCCCGTACGGTTCCATGATAACACTCTCAGACAGCATCCAAGGTTCGCTCACTGAGTCGTCAGTGCGGGGGGCAACACGTCGTTCCGAAGTGATGGCAAGTGCTTCCTGCGTGGAAGGCACTGTATCAATTATTCTACGCGGACGCTTCGAGGATGAAGCGTCCAAATTGTCTTCACGATGGCGACGAGTCCCTGCCGCAAGCTTGGAATCACACGACCGGGAAGACGAGGTATCCTCGTCTTCAAGATCTCCCTCCTCGTAGTCCACGGGGATACTACCGTCGGTCGAGAGGACCGACGAACCATCGAAGACAGTCGTTGCACTTTCTGATTCCGCGGCCCCAACGCTCTTCTTCTGTTGAAGCTTGAAATACTTGTCGACAGAGAAGTTCTTCTCTGTCGTGCCACTTAAGAGTGTCGGTGTTGCCGCCGACACAGGCGTGGGAGCATGCACCGACGCAGAGGCCAGTGCGGACGCGGATCGGCCGCAGGCGTCGACACTGAGACCAACGCGGACGCTGACTCGGGTGCTGGCGTCGACACTACGGTCGACGCGAACACTGGCAAAGATGCTGGTGTTCGTAGAGACGCGCTCATTGCGAAATGAGTGCGGAGTTTTCCCGGAGGCTTGACGGACTCGTAAAGACTTGGATTGACGTGTTGACACCAGCACGTTAAATCTTAACGGGGGGGGGTGTAACGTGGTTACACGAAACTCTAACCGTAACGTTAAACTGGTTAGAGTTAGAGGTTTCCCGTCTTGGTGTGTTCACACACCAAGACTGCATTTGAAGGTATCCCATTGGTAGAGTGCGCCACACCTCTACCAATCAGTGATGTGAATCAGTGTCAGCCACTCGCTGATAGTCCCTTAGATATTCGATAAACAGTTTAGGAAGAAAACCCTTTAAACAAACCAACACAGTTCTCATTTTACGCTATCTTGTTCCTATCTTATCTTGCCGTACACACGCGCCGTGTGTACGCTATAAATTCTAGGAACACCTACGCTTCCTCCTACATGTGCGCACACGTGTAAGCTAACTAGTGAGTCCTAGGCCCACTACACTTGGTAACACTTTGTCGTCCGTCCAACGACCGACTATCTTGTTCGTATGAGTTACGAACACGGGCAAGAGAATTTTCCGATGGACGAGTCATCCGTCGGAAGCCCGAGCACGTCTACTACGCATGTGGCGCGTACATACTGCCCCCATCGGGCGGACCCAGAGTAGAAGGCGCTCCAACGACTGTCAACAGTCATTGGAGAGGCGACCGTAGCGACAATGCTGCGCGCGCTATCGCTGACAGAGCAACATGGTGTTGTTCTGGGGCTCATCATGAGAGACCAACACGAGGTTGCTGCCGCAAAGCCAGTGTCTCCGGGGGAGACACCGCGGAAGTAATATCTGAAGTTATGTGTCAGTAACTACATGGGCAGAGAAGGCGAGACCCTTCTCCGCTGGCTTGTCGAATTTGATACTTCCGTAATGGCTCGACGGCTCGTCGACCCATTGGCGAAAGTCGCCTTCGCCATGTCTTGTCTTGGCGGACGCGCAAGGTGTTGGGCCTACGGGCGCCGACTCACTGATCCTACGTGCTTCAGCACGTACGAGACCTTCAAGGACGAACTCAAACTCGCGTTTGAGCCCCCACAGAACGAGTTCCGGTCGAGAGCGGAGTTTCTCGACCTGCAACAGGGTAAGCATGATGTACATGCTTACGGCCAACAGGTACGTGTAAGCTAACTAGTGAGCCCTAGGCCCACTACAAACACTTACATGAAAAGTGCTATTATACCTCATCTAATGATTATTAAAGGTCGAACAAAAAAGCAGGTGACCAGTAGGCGCGGGGCACCCTACTGGTAATGCAGTCACGCGTGTCTACAACGGACACGCGGTATTGAGGTCTGCAGCCCCCAGTGAGAGGGAATCTCACTGTGAAGCGCAAGATGACATACCAAACCTTGTAATCTTGAAGATGAAGTCCATGACGAAGAGAGCGGACTCTCTTCGGGTGTTCGTGGACTTGGGCGCGTCGAACAACTTTGTTCGACAGCAAAGTCTACCGTTGTTGGACTTCGAGGAGAAGCATAGGCCTCGAAGTCAGTTGGAAGTGCGATTGGCAACAGGTGCCATCGTGAAGACCGAGAAGCGCGTCATTCGCGCACTCTTCTCGTACAAACACCGGGTGTTTGTGGAAGAACTTCTCGTCCTGGACTTGGACGACAAGTTCAACATGGTGTTGGGCATGCCGTGGCTTGCACGGCATGGCGGGCTGTAACGACTCCGGGAGTCGTTAACAGAAAAGGAGTGACTGGTCCCTGACCAGTCACTACAAAGGAATTCCCCGCCGTGAGGCGTGGAGGTGACAACAGCGTGTCGACTCCGGGAGTTGACACGCACTCGATATAGAAATCGAGAGGGTATTCCGCCGTCAGGCGTCGATGTGACAACGGTGTGTCAACTCCGGGAGTTGCGCCGCAATGCTCCGCCGTTAGGCGTAGAGGTGACGACAATGCATCGACTCCGGGAGTCGATGCGACAAGCTGTGTGGATGGTTGCAAAAGTCTAGCACTGAAGTTTGCGTGCTGTCGTGCAGCCGGCTGCACGAAGCAGGGCGCGATCAAGCCGGGCCGGAATCGTGACTGCAGCTGAAATCTTCACGAACACGTGGATTTCTCTTTCACCAGGGGTTGCATATTGTTTAACATCTCGCTCGTAAGCCGCATGCCATTCGATAATGGTTTCTACAAAAGTTTGTCAATAACTTCAGTTGTCCTGCCCGCTCTTACAGCCTTCCCGTCGTCGCCACGCAACGCCAACCCTCCTACGCCGGAAAGAGTTGTATTAGTTTTGCGTCTAAATCTTTAAGCGATTCGAGTTCCTTCGCTTGATTGTTTCCTGCAGTTCGTAGATCAATCGTTTTCGTCGATGCTGACAACGAATGTGTCTTTTTTTGCCAAGGAACGCGCACATAAGCGTAACTACCACCATGGTTCTTTAACGTAAAGGCGGAGAATTCTGAAATGAGAGAACAATGAGAATGTTACACCTAGTATGAGAGATAACGTGATTGAATAAAGTGAATTGAGTGCTGTTGATTAACTGCACATAAAGACCTTTATGCACAATGATGATGCGCGGTCACAACACGAAAATCCCAAATACATTTCTGACTCAAGTGTTGCGGTGAACGCCAAATCTGAGATCAACCAGCCTGGCCGTCTCCTGGTTCAACCAGGAAACTACGCTGGGGTCTCTGCCCATGATCAAGCTGGAATTTAGTATGTTGCTCGAAGCTGTTGGTACACGAATAGCAATACAGCAACCCTAACATGACACCGAGACAGAATTTATAGCAATTTATGGCAAAAAGCAACCTCAAAGCAGCTGTTCTCGCGTATTTTAT